CTTTCCCTAGAATCTCGTTCTTCCAAAGTTTTTCAGTAATTGGCAACTCCATTCTTCTAACTGTTCAAATTGAATACAACTATCTGTCACCCCTTCTACTACCCTGTCCCCCTGAAATATTGCTATTGCCTACCAACTTACCTAAAGAGAAAAAAACAAATTTTGCAATCTACAGAAAGACACCAACAGGGCATCCTATGATTCAGTTCTGACACTATCTACCTGGAGATAGCGTTAGATATACAGGTTCAGGTCTGAGCCCTATAAAACTACCCCCATTTCAGCTGCCTGTCACAAGTCCAGGCTACCTGTATTTCTGACCAATAAACAGGAGTTCGATGTTCCTCTCGCTGGGTTCAGTTTGCTAGGAAAGTTCACAGAACTCAAGGAAATGCTTACGTATACTGGTTTGTTGTGAAGGATATTCTAAAAGATACCAATGAGAAGAAGAATAGGGCAAGGTATAGAACAGAAAGGGAATGAACGTCCATGCCCTCTGCTCATATCACCCTGCCTATACCTTCAGCCCTCCTCCTTCCTTTCCAGGATGCTGGTGGGTGGAGATGAAAGTTTTAACTTTTTAATCTTCTGACCACTTGGACTTTCAGACTGGCCCCCTAATACAATCTAGGGGCTCTACCCTAAATCACCACATTAGCATAAACTTATCTGTTACCCAGGAGCCTCACTAAGAATAAAAGGGTCCCAGCCAGCAGGTGGTGTAGTGGTGAAGATGCTGGATTCCCACCTGGTCAACCATGGTTCAAGTCCCAGACTCAGGCTTGAAAAGTCACACTGAGCACATGTGCAGTTGTACCCAAAATCCAGAAAGAATGGAGAAGGTACTGTGGCACGGCCATCTCCCTGGAGGGTGATTTCTTACTTTTCCTCCCTCTCTGTCTCCAGCAAGCACGCACATTCCTATGGCCAAAACCTTAAAAATGAAAAAAGAAAAGAGTCCCAATGCTCAGGAAGTCCCAAGGGTTTTAATTCTGTGACATGAACCCAGGACCAAGACCAAATACATTTCTTATTATACCACAACTAGTCTCTCTGCTTCAGGCCTTGCCAGTTACGCATGGTATTTTCACACAACAGCCACAGTGATCCTTTTCTTAAGTAAGTGAGATTATGTTACTCTGCCAACATTCTTGCTATGGTTCCTTACTTTACCCACAGTAAAAGCCAGACACCTTACAAAGGCCTTGAGACATCCTTCCAGAACCAGCCTCCTACCCTACTTCCATGATTTTTCTGACCCATCTTCCATAATTCTGCCTCTCACTTATTCCAATGCTGCTCTGCTGTTTCCATCACAGTAGCACATGATGGGCTGCCTCCACTCTCTCCTGGCCTTCCTCTGTTTACCCCCTCCCTGGACGCCTTGTTCTTATTCATCCCCTTCAAGCCTTTCCTCAAATTTTGATGTTTCAGTGAAGTGTCCCCCTCACCCCTGTATTTAAAATCACACTTCCCCCTTTCCTGGCATTCCAGTCCCACTGTTGTATTTTTTCTCCAAAGCACCATTTATCATCTGACACAAAACAAAAATTTTGTTTATTGTCTTTCCCAATCTGGTTATAACCTTACGGGCAAAACATTTTTGTTTTATTCATTATTGCACCCCAACACTGTATCTGACACAGTGCACACACAGTGACATTTGTAAAACTATTTACTGAATTAATACACAAAGAAATTTGTTTCTATTTGTAAGCATGTCTGGGATTGTTTTTCTTCAGAGTATCTATCAGCAACTGTGACGATTAGTTTAGTACTTTCCAAACTTGCCTAAGCATCAGACTCATCCTCAAAACTACAGGATTCTGGGTTAGTTTTAATTAGCATCTTGGTATAAAACCCAGAAATTTCCAAAATGCACTCTTGGCACTTCTAGTGAATGAAGAGATCTGAAATGAGAGGACTGGATTCCATCTGCAGTGTTGCTGCTCTGTGATCTTGTGTTCCTAACTCTCTGAGTCTATTTTCTAATCTACAAAATGAGAATTATCTTGCAAAGCTTTGAAAAATAAACATAGATAAAACAGTTTCATAAATTGTCATGTACAGTAAAACACGAAATGCTACAGAATTTAATGAACTCCTACATAAAAATTTTACCAGTTGGTAGATTACAACAACTAATTCTAAAAGGTATTTATAGTCCCTTAAAGTTTCAAACACATACTATTTAGCTCAGAACATATATATTGTCTTTAGACTAATCATTTCCAAAATACTCTTCCAGGTATATTATACATATATAATTTGTCTAATCAGTCCCAAATTGAATAACTCAAACAGACTAGAGAGTATATCTACTACATAATAATAGCTATGAGGGAACCTCAGAAGGTTAAAAAGAAAATCAATCTTGAAATGTATTTTCTCCTCTCACAAGGTAATAAAAACAAACGTTCTTATGTAATAATTCAGGAAACAGGCAGAAAAACAACAAATTATTTAAATTGTATACCAGACACATTTAAACACTCAAATTATCTATGTGTTATCTAAAAATTTAGTGCTTACAAATACAAAGAAAAAAAAAAAAAGACTAAAACCTATATGGTATATAAGATTAATGCTTTACCTGCAGATCCTCACACAAAAAGATAGATTCTTCAAAACTAATTCGGTAAGTCTTTAAGGCTTTTAATTTTCCCTTCTCTCTACAAGCTGGGCAATATCCATCTGCTGTAACTTTAGCTGAATCAAAACTCTAAAAGAGAAGAAGTAAGTTAAAATAGACATTCCTCCATCATATCACATTATTAAAAAAAAAAAAAATGGAAAGGTAACCAGAAAAAAGTTACAATTTTCAACAATAATAAAAATATCCTGGCAAGATTTTTTTTAAAAAACAGCAAATAAAAGAAATGCATGTATGGTTTTAAATACAGTTATTCTTCCAAAAAGAATACATTACAGCTTTAAATATTGAATTTTAAGACTAGCATCAGTTTTATTTGCAAGAAAATTGTAATAGCAACTGCCAGGGAAAATGTATACTTCACATTTTCAAAATAGTAAACCATAAGGTCTGTATATTATTTCTACTTTCACAAATCAATAAAACACAGAGAGTAAACACATTAAAACAATCTTTCGCCATTGCTGTAAGATTTCCGTGGAAGTCACAATTTTTTAGATGTTAACTGGTAAAATTAAAACTGAATTTACATCTCAAAACTAAGCGGAACAATAACAACTTTGCACTGAGGCATAAAATAAGTTCACTAACTTTTCCCAAATACCCCACCATGTGGAGTGAAGATATCCCTATATCAGTCCCTGGTCCAATCACTGGCAAACCATTTCCAATCTTCGGAGAATCCATCATTCCGAGTCATTGGCTAATTTATGCCACTTGAAACATGTCAATATCACTAAGGATTTTTCAATGAACCCTGGAAAAAAAAAGTCAATAGACAATTAAATAAAAGTTCTATTAACTCTAAAAAAAGGCTGTTTTTTTTATTTTTAAGATATATATATGTGTGTATACATACATACATATATAAAGCATTATCTTGAAGGCTCTGTGTCCTAAGTAGAACTATTCTGAAATGAAAACAAACCTATATTGCATTATCTTGAAGACTCTGTGTCCTAAGATGAACTATTCTGAAATGAAAACAAACCTATATTTATTTATAAGCCTAGTAAATTTATGGAGATAGAACAGAGATTGACAATACAGTTTTCATAGCAGAGACTGTTCATAAGAAAATTACGTAAGCTTGTAGAAAAGGAAGCTACTATTTAAAGCAAACTATATTGACCAGAGTTCAAATATGCCTGTGTTGCACTGATAAAGTATTTTAAAAACTTCAGCTCTATTACTTGACAGGGACAAAAGAACCAATGAACCACATACTCCCTGGACATTCCTATTGTATTCGACCACCAAGAATACTATTGCACCACTTGGGAATAATGCCACTATTTAAAAAGCTGCCAACAAATTACTATTTTACATTACCTGCCCAAAAATATAAATACTGTCATAGTACAAATTACATGTGACAAGCTGGTTGAGTGTAGTTCTATGGAGTAAAACCACATTTGACAAAGTGAAAATTATCAGATATTGGGGCTCAATGTAAGGCAAAAAATAATTGTTAAAAGCAGTTTTGAATATAGGTTTCAAATACAGAGAAATCAGATACAGAAGACCTCTAGGCCAATATGAATTAGCAGCACCACGGACCACCAGACGTAAAAGCCAAAAATTTCTCCAGACATTGCCAAATGTCTCTGGAACCTCCTTATTGAGAACTATATACTAATGCTAATCTTTCTATTTTAGGCTCATCACAAACGCCAATTTACTATTTTTGCTGTTTTATCCGTAACTTACAAAAGGGAAGGAGGTAGGAAAAAAAAAAAAAAAACTTCTCTGATTCATAAGTGATTAAAACAGCATATAGGTTTTGCACCTGCAGATCTGGGTCTAGATTTACTTGTAAAATTGATTTGCTCTAAGAATTAAACAAGGTAATACATTTAGTAAAAAAGCTTGGAACCTGATACATAGTAAATTAAAGCTACAATTTGGTGCTAGCTTTATACTTTATGTATAAATATGAAGCATACTCTATCATTCTCCAGTATTCTCAAAACAGAAATTGATAGGCTATATACTCTGAATAAATTGTTTTTGATTAACTTTCTATTTGCCCGAAGGACACAGAAAACATTCTAAAGGTTAAGTAAAACACGAAGAGCCTTAAAATCTGCTCTCCTCATTCTACCAACTGAACCTTTCAATGAGAAGAGTAGGCAAAAACACAAAACCCTCAAAGCCGATTTAAAAAAAAAAAATCCAAACATTGGCCTCCAGGTCTTCTTTTAAGTAGACAATTTATCTTCCACACAAAATCCTAGGGTGGTTCTTATAACTTAAGTTGTCCCTAAATAACTGTCTTCAATGTCCTTTCTTCAAAAATAACCTGCTCCTTTTACCTGTATCTTCCCTAAGATCTGATGTCTCCATCCTTTCAAAAACACAACTAAAAGTTTCTCTATACTTGCTATTGACTCCAGCCTGATTCGGGGAAAGCCAGTCCTGTTGAACAGCTCAGTATGACCTTAAGGGTAGCACTATAACCTACAGCTTATTGCACTGAGCCCAACCTTTCCAGCCTTCCTCTACCCCACCTCATCCCAGCATCTTTCTTCTGACTCTCCCTTATCCGTCTGAGAGCCAGTAACACTCCAGAGGTCCTAAGGTGAATTGGTAGTCCGACACGCACCCAGTTACAACGCAATGGAGGTGTAAGAGTCAAGTTGGCCCTAGAGATTGAGCAAAGGTATCCAATTAAGCTTAATTCACAGTCCCGTGTGCAAGATGGAACCCCCCCCACACACACACACACACCACCGGAGAAATAACTGCTCCAGTATAAAAAGGGTCTTATTACTCATTTGAGCTTGTCCTCGGATATCAAATGGGCTCAGCACGCGAACTACCGGAGGCAAGGCCACCACAGGCTTCAAGCCGGGAGACAGAGTCGGCTTTCAGCGCCTAGCCCTATCCGGTGCCAAACTCGGCGGTTCTGAATCTGAGACGTACTGGACCCAGCGAGGTGAGTTTCAGAACCAATCCAACCTTGGAAACCCAGGGAGGCGCAGGGTTCCGTTAACCTGCCCATCTCTACACTCCCTGGAAACAGACACTCTGGTTTCTCTTCAGTGTTTACCTCTCCTGTAACTCTACACCTTAATCAGCAACCCTGCCCACCCGAACCGTGTCCCAGCCCGGCCCAGCATTTTCGCGCGCCGACCACCCCATAGGTCACCTCAGTTCCGTCCCTTTCTCTTCTTTCGAGAGCCGAAGGAAAGTACTCCCTCTTTTCCCCTATCTATCCCGGGGACCCCCCGCCCCTCTTCCTCGTACCGGGTCGATCCGAACTCCTGTACCAAATGGGGCTCCACACCACTTAGTTGCAACGTTCAACCCACGTTCCCCTCGGACGGCTCCTCCCCCACCGGCGTCGCCGCTAGGAGAACAGCTTCCGGTTTGAGTCCTTGGAAAAGCATCCCCCTTCCTGCTGCGCGCTGGGCCTGAAAGGACGTGGGCGTGGCGGAGAACGCGAGCCGGAGCACTTCCGGCCGGGCTCCGCAGGGGCGTGGCCGCCCGCCCTGCTACCGCAGCCGCAGATTTAGCTGCGGCGGCGCGTAGGGGCGGATTGAGCTGCGGCGACGAGTAGGGGCGGGGCCGGTGGCTGCAGAGTCCGCCACGGGTTCGGGGAGGCGACGTTTCTGGAAACTGCTGGAAAGCGCTCGAGTGGCGGAGGGGGGGGCGGCGGCCAGGGGGGGGGGGGGGGTTTAAACAAGGGCGGGGGCCGTTATGGCGCGTCCCGCTGCGGAGGGATTCCACTGTGGAATGAGACTGGCTCGCATCTCCTTCGCCCTTCCCGGCGCTGGCGGGGGTAGCGACCCGAGCCGGGTGTCGTCGGGCTAGGGGTGTGGAAAAGGCTCCTGAAGCCGTTGGGGGTGCCGTGGAGGCTCTCCGCCGGTCGGTGGTTGCGACTTTTGGCTTTCATACCGGGCTGCACCAGGCACCATAGTCCGCTCTCCTAAAGCCTCGGTGAGAGCCGGGGTCCTTCAGTGCGTGTTCACAAAGGGTCACCACACATGGAACTGCCCCTCCCTGCTCCCTAAACCCCACGTTCGAGGCCAGGGGCTTTTCTACCAAGATTCTGGGGTGTTTCTCCTTTTCTCTCTCCTAGATCTTCTCACGGTAAGGGGGAGTAGCGGAAGCACAGGGACTATGCTGTCCATGACCCGTTCTGACTGGTCAGCCAATCTGTCCTGCTGCACTACCGCAGCTGCCCTGCCTGGTTTTAACTTCAGAGGAAGGGGGAGTTGTCATTTAGTTTGTAAGTTTAAAGCTCTGCTTTCGTAGGAAGGTCATGCGGTTGAAGGGACATCGTGACCGTGAATGCTATTTCTGATTCTGCATTCTCGGTCTTGGGGACAGTGTATTCCCAGAAGTTCTTTCGGCCGATTGGTTCTGTGTCCTAAGATAACGATTTGCAGTTTCTGACCATTTCTTTACAGAGTAAGCACGGTTGGCATCTTGTACTGTGGGTTTTTTTTTTAGTGGTCTCTAAATAATATGGGAATAATGCTGATAGTTTTGATACGCTGGTGTAGAGGAATCAAACCTCGGGTTAAGGAAGAAATTTTTTAGTAAGGAGGATTTTAGTTATTGATATTTCTCTGTGGAAATGGCCAAGAAATCCAACTGGAAGTTTTCTTTTTATCCAGACAAAAATGGGCTAATTACTTTCTGTTTACTTTTTTTTTTTTTTTTTTTAGTTCTAGATTGTTAATATACTGACTGACTTGTTGTAAGATCCAGCTAGTATCTTTTAAATGAATTATGGAAATTTGAGTATTTCCTTCTGAAACAGTAGCTAAAACTGGGAAGGTTTCTTTCTATAGCTTATCATTACTACTTCAATTTTAGAATGGAATACAGTAATTTTTGTTTTGTAATAAATACAGAATATGCGCTCACAAATTGACCGAAACAATTGGTTTGGTTAAAATTTCGTTAAATTTTTAAGCTTGCCAGAGAACATCACCTAACGTATCAAAATCAAAAGTTATTTTCCACAAAGTTGATTTGTAGTCTTTTCATACTTGTTTAAATCTTTGCCAGAAAATTAAAATAAAAAAAAAAAATAAAGGGAAAGAAAAGACAAGAACAAGATAGAGATGGGGCTTGGGTTGTGAACAGAATGGAAGGAGTTTTAGTGTGTGCCCTGTTCTGACTTCAGACTTTTTTCCCCCTTGTAGGTAGGAAAAGTTAAAGGGAAAGATTCTGATTTAGGAGCTCATACAGGTTGACTAGAAACCATCTTTTCATTTTTTTCATTTCTGTTATTGTACAAGTAATCGTCCCACTACTTGGGACCATACAATTGAGAAAATGGTATTCATTTTTGCTTATTCCTTACCAGTATATTTGGAATGCCTCTTTCCGTGCAATTACTTTCTAGTGGAATTAAATCTCATTGCCTCCATCCTCTAGTCAGCAATGTAAGACAGAAATTTTATTTATCTATTTCCTTTCATAAGCTCACATGATTTAATCAGAGGAAGCTCTTATTAAAGTATTAAACTAATGAGCAGCTACAATAGGAGTACAGTGCTGTGCAATCAGAATTTTACATTTTTCCTAATTTTATCTTCTCGTGGTAGCAGTTATTGCACTCTGCTAGGTTGGATTCCTTAAACCACAGGTATTCCATGCTGACCTGGGATGTGAAAGCTGCCTGCTGTGATGGCTTGTTCTGGTCCAATCAGAAAGATAAGAGTTGTAATTACTAACCATACTTCCTAGCAGCGCCCTATGAGGACAGTCTGTAATTCTTTTTTTCAAATCTAATATTCAGAAGGCTCTAAAAATGAAAAACTTTTTAAGTTTGGATACAAAATTCATTTGGTAGCAAAATATGGCCTGTACTAAGAATCAGGTATATGTAATCTTTATTTACCCCACATGTTTTGCTGAAATAGTAATTTGTTAGATTATGGGGCAGCCTTTGCTCACTGGTATGTGGGGTGTTATATTGTTATGGTTTGTGTATTTTATAATACTTTTTAAATTTCAAAAAATAATTCTAAACCATCCCACTCTGAGGTTTAATTAAAGAATTATGAAACTCTAGTATTTTTGGCTGTACACTTGTGCTAGGCATTTATATATTTAAAAAACTGACCTGAGACATTTTAGTTCTTGCCCTCATGAAATCAATTGAATCATGGTACCACAAAAAACATACATTTATCATACTGCAATGAAAGACATAGCAGTCTTTTTATAAGTATAGCCATGTAGTGAGTCAAAAAAGAAATTAGTCATCTCACGGTTTGTGGTTATTGAACACTTTGGACTCTAAAATTTAGATAAAATAAGACTAGTTATAGCCTAAACTTAGTTGACTCTGTTTTGCCCAAACAAAATGAGAGGACAGTATGATAAAGAGTCCTATTGGCATATTTGATTTCTAGACCCATCTCTTATGCTGTATGAACTTACACAAGTCATTAATTATAAAAGCCTTCATCTACAAAGAAGTTTGGAATAGATAGAGCTCTTAAGGAAAATTCCTTATACTTCCAACTGTGTACCTCCAGACAGTTATTCTCAATATAACCACCTACTTTTTGAACATGTTTCCCACTCAGAACATGATCCCATTTTATCTCAAACTGCTATCTTGCTGTCTTAGTCTGTGTGTGTGTGTGTGTGTGTGTGTGTGTGTGTGTCTGTCTCTTGATAACAGAACTATCTGAAACTGGATGAATTTAAGAAAATAGAGATTTATCGTGACTCACCATTCACATGGCTGGAAAGTTCAAGGGGATAAGGCTTACCTACAGTGTGGCAGGAGACAAAATCTTTTTTTAAAATTCCATTTGTTATTATCCTTTTTTTTTTTTTTTCCTCAATTTGACGGACAGAGAGAGAGAAAAGGAAACTGAGAAAACAAGCTGCCAGGTCCAGGACTTGAACCATGGTCGGCCGTGTGGGAATCCAGCCGTGCCACCTGCTGGCCTCAGGAGACAGGATCTTGAGTGGAGGACTATGAGTTTCTGTGTCTAGTTCTCATTCCCTCTGTTTAGAAAACTCAATCGTAGGGTCTTACCCTAAAGACATTCTCAACCCAAAGGCTCCACCTAGGACAAAAAGAAAGAATTAAGTTTTTACTTAACACCTCTTTAAGTCCTAACACATTAATTTCTGGAGGGCATCCAATCATCACCCACTAAGACTGACTTCCAGAACATAAAATAAACCTTTGGGAGAGAAAACCATTATCCAAACCATAACACTTGCTGATCTAAATTTGTTATTTTGTGTTGCTAATAGAGTCAGCATTCAAAGGCTACTCCATGAAAAGCCTTGCACACCTGTCAGCCCCTCACCTACCTGCCAAGGAAGAAACTAATGTTAACAGTTAAATAAAAAAAAAAAAAAAACTATACATACGCAAGCAAATAAGGACTATTATAAGTGACTTTTTACATAAATGTTCTGTTCCGTGCATACTTATGTACCTCATTCACTCGTTTAGAAGTTACATAGATCTTTCCTCATTCCTTTTTTTGGGGGGGAGAGATTGTTTTCTATAGAGTATGTGTGCTCGCCAGGGAGAGAGACAGAAAAGGAGAAATCACTCCCTGGGGGGATGGCCATAACACATTCCCTTCTCTATTCTCCTCTTGGGATCTTGGGCACACATGCACACCATGAGTTTTAAGCCACCTGGTTTGGGACTCGAACTGCTGTTGACTATGTGGCAGTCCAGTGATTTAACCATTACATCATCTACTGGTCTCTCATTCTTTTTTATGGCTGCATAATATTCAATTATATGATGTAACATTATTTCATCAGTTCTTTCCTGGATGGTTAGGATTTTTCTTTTCAAGTTTTTATTAGAAACATAGTGCAATTAATAGCTTCTGTACATTGATCATTTTCCACATGTGAATGTGTCTGTGCCCTACACAGTGGCACAACTGGGTGCCATCCTACTCTGACTTATTTGTTCCCTGTGCCAGTAAAAGATAATGGTGTGGTGGAGTCAACACGCTGTTTGGTTCTAAAGTAAGCTTTTGAGATAAATAACATCAGCCAAATAGCTGTTTCTTCATTTGAGCCCTAGATGAAGTAGGTGGATTCTGTTTAGAAATCTTGTCCTAGAAACCAAACATATAATTTTTTTAAGGGATTTTTGCTATAGGGTGCGTGCACTCACCAGAAAGAGACAGACAGACAGAAAGCAAGAAATCACCCCGGGGGGATGGCCATGCCACAATCCCTTCTCCTCCGTTCTCCTCTCGGGATCTTGGGCGTGTACGCACATGCGCCCGGCTTGAGTTTTAAGCCCCCAGGTCTGGGACTCGAACCCCAGTTGACTACATGGGAATCCAGCAACACAGCCATTACGCCACATCTTAAAACTAAAATCATGCAGCAGAGCAATT